CCCTCGTATTCTGAAGACAGCACTGGGAGCAGGGCCAAGCTGTGTCAACCTAGCCCTGCTCTCAGCACACATGAAAACAAGTTCATGAAGGCACTCGCTTTGGAGTACCTTCATCTGAATCCTTATTATATGCAGGATTGAGCCCTTTTAAAGTGCTCTTCAGCTGTACTCTTCTTTAAGGGGGCAGCTGAAGGGCGCTCTCAAGGGGCCGATTGTGCAACAAATATAACTTCTTTCTGAGTCTTCAGAGTGGCAGACATTGAGGATACAACAAATACAATATTTTTAGTTATCACAAAATGTGAAATGGAGCTGGTGAATAGAAATGCTGTAGATTCCTGTTATTTGCATTACCATTTTTTCCCAGCAAAATTCTAATAAGTGGAAAAGGGAGAAAAAAAAATTCTGAAGCTGGTAATCTCCCATCATAATGTGGCAATGCACTGTAATATGAATCACACATCTTTTTGTCAATTCTTAGTTGTTGGTAAATATGCATAAAATTATGGCGATCACTGTTCAAACTCCTTACCTGTGCTCTCACACTTAAAAATGTGAGCATGCACAATCAATAAGGAAATGCCATTCTTAGCAGATCAGTTTTCTTTCTCTTAGTTATATTGCTGCATGGGTGATTGTAATATAGCTGATACAGCCATTAAAAACAAGAAACATGTTAAATATACCTGAAAAAAGTAAATTGTGCTTATTAATTTAAGACAACAAAGTCCTGTGTAATCATCACCAAACTACAAATATAAGACATTATGATACCTGTCTGCTTACAAGAGATAATATCTTTCCATGTACTTCTCAATCTTTGCACTATTTGACTAATGGATCCTTGGCTTTCTTTGTCTAGTTTCAGTTTATGCAGTAAACTATAATATCGTAAAAGCTGATATGGGATTAACTAGACAAAATTTAATTGAATAGAGAGCAAATGTTTTTATTATTCTATAGGAAAAATGCAAATCACTGTCCTATGCAAATCACCAGTACACGATAAAGTAGAATCTGTGCTTTGGTACTGATTTGATAGCACCAAATCTAATACTGGAGGCCTTGGAACTGTGTTGTAAGGAATTGAGGTACTGGAAAAGGAAGGCAAGGAAGTCTGAAACTGATGATGTGGTGAAAGGAGAGTGTGAGAAAAAAAACAACAGTTAGAATGCACCTAAAATGGCTAGAGCTCTTGGTAAAGGCAGTTATCCAAAGTATACATAAACCAAAATATGCATTTTTCTGGGTTTGGGTAGATGGTGGGAAGAAGAAAAAGATTTTAGCTGAAGACAGCCAGCTTTTAGACCTCCTTAAGCACATACAATCATACCTCTACCAGCAAGACTGCCCAAGCTTTTCGATAAGATCTCATGAATGAAAAAGATAGCTGGTTGAAGATGAATGCAAGCAAGGTAGAAGTTAAAGCTAGTGGATGGAAGAAGTCATTTTGAAGAGTTTGCAGCCAAAATGTCTTTTTTTTTTTTTATGAGAAGTATGGCTTGCTTTGGGTTGTCACTTTTATTGGGCTGACTACTATGCAGCAGCCCCAAACCTACTACCAAAAGTACCTGATGACTGTTATCCAATAACAGATATCACCCAAAGAAATCCTTGCCTCTTGCATAATTCCTGGATCATCTCAGCTGTAACATCACTTTTTTTTTTTTTTTTTTAAAGAAGGTACAAATCCAGGAAGTTAGTTCAGTCTGTCAGTTAGGGGTGCTTCTGGATTCCTGACAAAGTTCTTGCTTAGCATGAGTAACACTTTCTGTTATGTCCAATTGGCTAGGACTATAGCCAATATCCCTGCTAGCCTATAACCTGGGCCCCAGTTAAACATGACTCCATCACCTTCATCTGGATTACAGAAAAGCAGTATACCTGGGCAGAGAGCCATCAGCCATTAGGGAACTCCAATTATCCAGATAGCTGTAGCTTGCCTGCTCAGAAATATTGTAAGATGTCACCTCTCCTTCATCCTCTGTAGTAAGGTGACCACCCATCCCAAATTGGGTGGGACAGTCCCAAAATGTAAACATCAAGTCCTGGTCCTGGGTCAAATGACTCTGGGACACCATTTGTCCCAGATTCCCCTTAACACAGTGCCCATGTGTCATCCCCCTCTGCAGCCCCACTCCCCAGTGCACTCAGGGCAAACCCACCCTTATAATGTCCCCCTACAGTGGAAAGCAGTGCTTTCCACTGTGGGGAAAGGGGTGGTGTCTGGCAGTTGTCATCCCTCCCCCACTCCTCCAGCCACCCCCCACCAGTGCCCTACGTCACCCCCTTCCCACACTCACTTCTTGTTGTAGAGCTCCTTTAGGTGTCGCCAGCAATACAATACCTCTCCCCCCAATTGTTGGGGTTTCTTTTTAATGCTCTATGTCCCCTGTTTTTGCATTTTGAAAAAGTGGTCACTCTACCCTACAGTGTATTTTCATAAATATTGAGTTAAGGTCTTTGATCCTATTGTCAAAGCATTTAAAAAATCCTCTGTGGTATAAACAGTAGCTGACACTTCCAGTTAGGCATCATTGTCTACCACTCCTCCCCCTGGGCTGGATTTGGATGTAGTGACAGCAGGGGTTATTACAGCTATTCTTCACCCTCCATCACCAACAAACATCACTGTGCCCCAAATTTTGGCAGTAGGGCCCACCCTCACCTGCCCTGTCCAGCCCTTCTACAAGCTCCACAGGCTGCATGACATAGCTCTGCGGGCCAGATCCAGCCTGCGGACTGCAAGTTTAACTCCCTGGTCTGTAAGAAGATGAAGTCTCATTTTACAGAGATTGAATTTTCTTGGAGGCTGGTCTCAGACAATGGAACAAACTCTCATGTGAACTTAAAGCTGTCACAGATCTCACCACCTCTAAGACAAGTGCACAGCAGCATGGGTATTTGAAAGACAGGCACACACGCAAAGCAAAACCGTGCCATAATAGGATCATGCTGCCCATGTGCTTCTTTCCCTTGGCAAAGGATGAAAGAGAACCATGTGTGACACATGTTGCCCTGTTTAGGGTATGCCCACTGAGAAACCGCAGCTAGTTCTAGTTTGGGTATGGGAAGTCGTATTGCTGCATTAGCATGATTCTTGTCCTAAGCTAATATACTCTGCTTCTCAGTATAACCAGTCTAGGTGGAAGTGCTGTGCTAACACCTATACTGCTTCTGGTACCTGGATTACCTTGTCCAGAGCTAACTTGGGCATCTTAATAGAGCACTGCATTGCGCTATGTAGATATAGCCTTAAAGCACTACTAGAAGATGCTCAGGTGCTGTGGTGGCAAGGATGGCATCAAACTAAGCTTTGTGTAGAGCGGAATTTGAACACAGTCAAGTTTCCCATATTTCTATACAAATTTATATACACATTTTATGTGGATAGGGTGTTTATTCCATCTCTAAAAATACTTAAGCCTCAGCAATAAGTGCTAAATTTACTTAATCTTTAGTGTCAACCAAAATAATATTGCTTTGCTCTGATGTACTACTCTCTGATGTGTTGTTTTGATAGTATTGAAGTTTGCAGCATGTAGGTAGCACAACAGGAGGCTACTTCCATATTGGAGTTATAATATGGAAAAGTTTAGAGCTGAAGTGTTGCATTAATATTATCTTGCTTGTGTCACTATTTATCTATTTATATTCTAGCAAAGCTTAAGCCAGTTTTCTACCTGTTTCTAAATGTCTTATGTTAATGAAGTAATTGGCATATGACAAAAGTTATTTACTCCAGATTACAATATAGTTGACCCTACCAAAGGTTTCACTGTGTTCTCTAACACTCTAATTTGTTACTTTAAAAATATATTCACATTAAATTAAGTATATTTGTTTAAGAGATGAAAATTGAGTAATTGCTTTTCAAACAGGTCACCTAAAGTGCTGAAGTTTGGTTGGAGAAATGTACCGTAGACCTAATTCTGAAGCTGTGAAGTCAATAGAAAGATTTCCATTGATTTCAGTGAGTTTTTTGGGATACTCCTTAAGGCCTCAGCTAGCAAAACGTTTTGCTATGCACTTTTTCTTGTGAGTAATGCCATTCATATAGCTTTTACACTGGCACTGCTCATATGGCTGAAGTTAAAAATATGCTTAAGCATTTTCAGTATCAGGGCCCAAAAATGTCGGTAACTAGGAAAATGAGCTAATCAAGAGAACACTTCTAAATTTATTGTGTAAATGAACAGAATGAAGTAAAGATACTCCTTCACAAAATGTGTTTTGTTCATTTATTTTGATGAAAAGTTTGAAAGTATATCATAGGTGCTACAGTCATAGGCCTCAAGGTAGTTAGTATTTTAGTACATAACTTACACACAATTCATTACAACAAATCTTAATTAACATGAAATCTTACTACATGTGATGTTAAAGTTTTGAAAGTTGGATTTTGAGGATTAGAGATTTGCTCTTATGCATGTTAAGAAATATTAAAGAACCTTGAAAACCAGCAAGTGTGGAATTTAATATTGTTTAATCCTACAAACACACACATGCATACATAATAGGGAATCTACTTACCCTGGTTATTCAGATTTACCCTGCAATGTGCACAGACTGCAACTTGCATTCACCAAAATGTTGTCTTCTCCCTGACAACATTGCTCTGTATTAGACCATCACTGAATTACATTTTTTTTTGTTTTTCTTTTCTGTCTGTCATGACAGTTTATTCTGAATTAACTATTTAAAGATTCAGCAGCAGTTTCCTCACTTAATTCAGGGATTATTTATTAACCCATTTTATTAATTTCTTTTTTGTTATTGCATTGCAGTTTGTAGCTTGTAATTTTCTCAGTATAGGGCATTAAAACCTATATTTCAAGTATGATTTTTGCTACACTCACTTTAATTTAAATTGGGACTGCACATATTCTCAAAAGATTGCCATAAACAAAAGCCTGTAGTAACAGTAAACTACTCTACTTTGCGTTTTCTCCCATTTAATACAAAGATTTCTTTGTTAATGGCCTTAACTCTGACTAAACCTACCCTTTAAACTCAGAGAGTGACAATGTGACCAACTACATCTGTGTAGTTCCTTTTAAAGAGCTGGGTCTTGGACTGAGTGAAGAGCAGGTGTCTGAAGAGGAGGCGCACAACCTCACAGATGGCTTCAGCCTGCCTGCACTCAAGGTAATCTGTCCTGGAGGGGTGAATGCATACATTCAAACACAGATTCATCACAAATCCATTTCAGCTGTAATAATAACCTGTTAATCTTAGCTTCTGACATCTGTTTCCCCCTTAGTTATCAGTCTGTAGCAGTAGCGTAACTGGAAAGATTTCTGAGAGAAATTCATGAAGCTTCATTGAGAGCTTGGTGCCACATATTTTTACACTTATTTGCTTTTAGGCGGTTTTCATTTAACACTTAAACATTCATTGCAAGACATGGTGTTGACTTGTATTAAATCATACTTATCCTTTGAAAAAAATCAAACTAGAATTTACAAATCTGTCTTTTCCTAAATGTTGCTGTAATTTCATTATATCTTTGCTGAGAAAAGAGTTGTTGAAGTATTCTTCCAGTTTCTTTGTCTTTTGGCTCCTCATCTTGGCTTGAATAGAGAGGCATTCCAAAGACACAAATTGGCTGGTAATTGCAAAAAGGAATAGCTCCAGTTTGCTGTGTAGTAGAATGGAATTCATAAGCTTGACTCCACTGTCATGAATCAGACCTGTTCTTTGATCTCTTAAAACATTTAATTAAACAAAATAGCGGTCATCACATACTCTTTTAAACTATTTAATTTTGAGATGTTAAATACCCTGACTTCTAGTAAATGTTTGTTCTTGAAAAGAAAATCTCATTTTAGTACAAACCCTTCAAAAGACCAGTGGTTCTCTGTTTCAAGTGTTTGTTTGTTTTTACTTAGGAAAGTTATTGTTTGAATTGTATACAGCTACTCCTCCCTTAAGGTCATAGTTACTTTTTTGAAAAATGCAACTTTAAGCGAAACAATGTTAAGCGGATCCAGTTACATCACAGCAGTTGCCTACTAGCAGGTGGTGGCCAAACAACGTTATAACCGAACATTGTGCGACTTTAAATGAGTATGTTCTCTAATAGATCAGCAACGTAATAACGTGACAACGTTAACTGGGAAGATGTTAAGTGAGGAGTACCTGTATTAGTTTTATGGTGGTGACTTTTTGTGGAGGTATTACATTTTATTTAGTAATCCCTCCCACTTGATTTCTTTTGTTCTGGAAGTATCTGTTGTCAGGAGTCAGCTTGATAAGCTTTAGGCTTTATTCCAGTTAATTTTGAGCAGAGTCTCTAAATTGCAGCATTTAAGGGGTTTTCCTCATAGGAACCTTGCAGACTCATTTGGTTTTCCGTGTTTTTCCATGTAGGCAGAGAGGGAACGGAGCAAGGGGGAAGGGGCAGCAGAAGCCATGCTTATAAGTGGTGAAGATTTCCAAACTAAGGCTTTGCTTACACACTACTGCACTGATTTAACTGAAACCAGTTTTAAATTGATTTAGTTAAACCAGTTGAAATTCCTTTCTTGACACAGGCTATAAACAGACATTGCCAAATGAAGCAGATCAGCTATGCTGGGATGTGTCCCGGGACAGCTGTTCTGCTTCATTGGGCAAAACGGACATCGTCCATTGTCCCACAAGTTTGGGCCCCTGCCCCTCCCAGGTTTTCCCACGTGCAGAAGAGTGCCACAAATTGGAACTACCAGGTACACCTCTTCAAGCATGGAAATGGGGTTCCCTACTTACAATGCCCAGGGACTCCAAGTCTGGGTGCACCTCTGCAAATAGAGCAGCCCAACCAGGCACTCCCAGGGTTTGAGGGGTCCTAACCTGCATTCCCCAAGAACTTCCCTGCAGGGATTAGGCCCTGAAACCCTGGGAGTGCCTGCCTGGAGTGGCTGTAGAGCATGGGCAGCTCCAGGCTGCCTGCACTCTGCTACCTTAAAACAAATAGATGTCTGTTGTAAAACAGCAGCACAAATTAATACTACCTTTTGTGATGGCCCCACATTTGGGCATTTGTTGCACAACAAAAGGCATGGACATCTCGTTGCTTGCGCTTTGTACCATGATAAAAATTCTTACGGCAGCCCAAAGGCAACATCTTTTTGCAGTCGTACATAAACCAGCTAACAACTATCTTATGCCATTTTTGAAAGCATGGTGGCAGAATGGTTAAGCCATTTCTATATGGATTTGTGCTGAAGACAGTCCCCTGGTGACCTACCTGATCATCAAAATTGGGGAACAAAAGGTAGTCAGATGTGATTCTGACTGCACTGTTGCCTTGCGTGCCCTTGCCTGTAAGCCCTGTCATCCTACCCTATCATCCAAACCCTACCTTAATCACATTAGCCCAATGAGCCAACTGGCCTCAAGATGGACATTGGATTTGGGCATATATCAGTTTAACTTAATTCCATAACCGATCGTGATGTTTGATATACACGACAGAAGCTAAATCAATACTCTGTAACCAGTGTGTTTTCACCTGTGGATTTAAATAACTTAAACTATTTTACTTAATCAATATAAATTCTGTGTTGTAAGACCTAAATTCATTTATAATTCTTCTTAGGAACTTACCTTCTCAAAAAAACCTTCCTGTTTATTGCATTTCAGCATTATACACATATACATCCAGATTTGCAGTAGTGTTGTATTTTTAAAAGAAATACATTTCTGTATGCCTATATAAACTATATAGCTTTGTGTGTTGTGCCTTAGCCTGTAAGTGAAGGAAACCTTCTCCTCAAACAAAAACACTCTGTAGCAGGGGACAGCAACCTTTCCAGAGCAGCAGGCCAAAATTAGTGCAGCTTGGTCCAAGGTGAGCCAGTGCTTTTCCCTGGTATCGAATTGCCATCAAATTGAGTGCTACTTGGCTCTCTCCAAACTGCAGAATTCCCCCCACTGCCAAAATACTGCCAATATCTAGGCTTTGAAATTGCTTGACTGGCCAAATCCAACCATAAGTTGCTGATCCTTGATCTATAGAATAGAACACTTGGCTGGATGCAATAGCATCTTGTGTTATTTGAGTAAAATAAAAGTAGCCAAACCTGTTGGTGATTAGAAAAGCCAGCTAGTCTAAATATGTTTTGGATTTCCTTTTCTGTGACCCACATGCCTTTTTTCAGGTAGGTTTTGGATCACACTTTTTTCTCTTTGCAAAGTTCTCTATTCCTGTGTGCTGCCTCTAAACTATTCATTGCTTTCTCTTCACATCCTGGTTGTAAGGACTTCTTTTATGTTTTGTAAAGTCCTAAGCTCTTTACTTATGTCCTGCTGTTCTTTCCTTATGGTTACTTAGCTAATAGCTACCTTTTCTGTTGCTTTTTCCTTTGGCTTTCTTTTTAATAGCCAGCTAAATCCCAATTTTGCATGTAGGGATTATGGGAAGTTTGTACTATGTAGAGTGCTTGACCTGTGTATTCACTTCATGCCATTCTGAATGTTTTCTTCAGATAACTGGAAGCCATCTTCTTGAAGTCTTTATAATAGAGAGCAGCAGTGTAGGGACACAGCTGAACAGCTGGGACAAAGCAGAAGCAGCCTACTTCTGGTTCATGATCACAACCACAAACAGCCAATTTTTTTTGCATCTCCTCCCTAAAGTTGTCACTAGGAGTAGTTGCCCATTACTCCCCACCCCTCTCCACTCAGTTGCACTATTGATAGAGAGGAGTAATCTGTTTTCTGCGTGAATATGTTGCTTGGAGGTTTTGGGGAAGGTGTCACTCTCTTTTGAAATGATCAATTATGAGTCCATCCTTCTAGGTACTTATAATTAGGGATCTACTCAATTAGCAATTTCACGGATTTGGTAGAAACTGGAATTGGACATTGTCTGCAAAATCCACGAAAAAAAATTACTAAAAATAAAATGCTGGCACTCAAGTGGGAGCCAGTGGTCTTCCCGGCTGCTGTGGTGGGGTCTCACAGCCCACTGGGGTGGGAGGGAAGCTGCCAGTGCAAAGGAGAGTAGCCAAGATGATGGCTGTTCTGCCCCTCACTGCTGATTGGCTGAGAGGGCTGCCCATTGCATGGCCCTGCCCCTCTCCACCAATCGGTAGTGAGGGGTGGGACACATGATGCACAGCCCTCTTAGCTAATCAGCGACATGCGGTGGGGCCACCGGGCCCCTTGGCCAATCAGAGGCATGTGGGGGAGCCTGCTACAATAAGACTGTGAAAATGGCAGCTGGCCCCGTGATCAAGCCATGAAATCAGCCTCCTGCCTCCTTGATTTCAGTAGGTCCCTAATTATAACGGTTCTCCTCACTATGGTAACCTGAACACCATTCTGTTATCATATACCAAATACCTGGTTGCATATGCTGAAGTATACTCATATCATGAAGTTCCTTTTGACTGTTCACATACTGCAGTGACCACCAACCATCTATAGCAGTTCAACATTACTATAATTAGACATTGTTGCACTTGTGAGACCTTCCAGCGCAGAACCTCAGACACCTCAAACATTCATTAGTAGCTAAGCAATATCACTGCTTTGCAGATGGAGAAATAAGGCACAGTACACTTAAGTGACTTGATTTGATCAGTCTGGGGTACTTGGGTATAGCTCTCTGCCCACAACCCTTACTAGACCAATTTTTCTCTCTTTTTGAGTAGAGACTGCTGTCATTGGAAAAAATACTTTTTATTTCTTTTAAAGAGAGGTGGGACTCTATTGGGAAAGTTACTACTGTTCTGTTTCAGATTTCTGAGACATCACAACAGGCTTTGTCTAAACTAAGAAAAAAGATATCTTTTTCATCAAGGTAGTTAACAAAATGTGAGGTCTCCATTAGCATTTTCTGTAAAATCATGTTATCTCCTCTTGGTGTACTTTAAGCTGTTTCCCTTCAGGGATCCTGGTTTTCTCTGTTTAAACATTGCAAATTTTCTGAATGTAAAAAATAAAAAAATAAAATTGCAAATTCACATTTTTCCATGATTAAAATGAAACACCACTATATATGTAGGTATCAGTTGAACACAATGTTTTATTGATATACTTACAATTTTAAAGCCATTAGGAAACCTACCAGTGCCTCAGTCACTATAATAAAACACATTCTAAATACCTATAAATTTTGGTATTTAATTTTGGGTTTTTCTCATGGAAAATCAGAGCTCTCTCTGCCCCCGTCCAGCTCCTTAAAATGAGAAAATCCAGGTTTTACTCTTTTTTTCCATGGCAAAGGGAAAACCTGGATCCCTGCTTATTATAAATAGGAGTACAACAGAGCATAGCAAACTTCAGCTTTATAGCTGAAGTTTAGGTTTCAGAGTAACCCTACAGGATTTATCACTACCAGATCTTCCTTGTACCATAAGTAGAGGGTTTAAAAAGATTCTATTTTTGTAAATCTGTATGTTTATTTTTTAATGGTATTTGTGAAGTTACTCATTTTGGTACAAGTGAGTCAGAAGTTCATGTTTCTTAGCACCTTGAGTAATTTTTTGATTTAAAAAAATGCTAATGGATTTGTATTTCAAGATGGGGGAGAGGTATGCCAGTCAGAAACTTAAATTCTATAAATGATAGTTTGACATTTTGAGTGAAGTCACTCAAAAAATATCCTGCTGTTGGAAACTTCAGCTATTTTAGTGCCCTAGGGTAGACCTAAACCTTATTAGTATCTAGTCAGACTTGCAGATGGACAAAAGTGATCTCTTCCAAAGGGTAGATGTGATGCCCAGGACCTGGAAGAGCCTTTTGTGCATAAGTAGGAACATAAGACCCTCTGTGAAAGGCTTGACAGTCATATAAAGTGTGCAAGATATAAATTAATGTGATCTGTGATATCCTTAAAAGATGCTCTACATATGTTCTTAATTTTTCATGATTCTTGTGTTGTGCTGTGAAGTTGGATTGCAGTATGTGTATATATATTTTGAAGGTAGGCTATGCTTTCCAGGCACACAATGCTAAACTTTCAACATCTTGTAGGTTCTGTTTCAGCTCTGGGTAGGACAGAGTTCAGAATTCTTCAGACGACTAGTACTGCTGCTGTCTTCAACTAATGCATCCCCTAAGCCCTTGATCACCCCAGAACGTTTGCCTCATCATATTTTGTCTGACGTGACTCAAGGTCTACCTCACACTCATGCTGCCTGCTTACAAGAGCTTAAGCGAAGCTATGAATTTTATCGGTACTTTGAAACACAGCATCAGTCTGGATTGGAACGTTCAACCAAAAGGAAACAAAAGTCAAGAGAGCTGAACAGCCTTCATATAGCAGTGCGCAGTTTGCAGCTTCATCTCAAGGCCCTGCTAAATGAGTAAGTATACACACTGATTGCAAGAAGATGCCCTTAGTGGTAAATATTCAGTCCTATGCCTTTTCAGGTTTTGGTTTATATTGAAGAGCTAAATGTTGTCTGAACCGTATTGCTGCTGTTTCTGTATATGCCATAACTCAGCTGAACAGTTAGCTAAACAAATCTGATTTACATTCCACCATTGGAGGAAGCCAGTTAAGTATAGCATCTCTTGTTTAGTGGTGACAATGTGGGGGGGAAAAGTACAATTCTTTAAATTGCACATTTTGGAAAATTATGGAGTGGAGTCATCATTAGGAGGTGTTTGGAAACCCCTAGAGGGATCTGACCAGTTGACTTATCTTTTAGTTTAAGTGACTGTAGATATAACAAGTCTGTTCTCTTTCATAATTTATTGATTGAGATGAATGTTTATCAGGGCATACCATATCCACCTTCAGAGGAGGAAGTGACTGGAATTAGAAGTTTTCATTTGGAAGTGAAAGATTCTGTTTTATACATATTTTGATACTGTGCCCATCCCTGTGGAATCAGCACTCTACAGTTTGATAGCTATCTATATGTCATGTTTTGAAGCCAGAGTGTATCTGTCCTAGGTGAAATCTGATATTGTTACATTACTAATCTTCAGATATTTTCTTCCCCCTTGGTAATGGTGAACTTACAGAGCAAGATTCAGGAAAACCCTCCATCTCTTTAGTCACTCCCTTTTGAAAACACCTGAAAGCATGTTTGTCTTTTGTCTATTTTGCAACAATACTCCAAGTATTTTAGATGAAAATTCAACTCATAATAATTATATGTTAAATATTTTTTAAAATGAATTAATTAATCAAGCAAGGTTCTTTGGGTAAATGTGATATCTTTTATTAGACCAAATGAGTAGCTGGAAAAAAAATATTTGTAAGCTTTTGGGTTCAATCACCCTTCTTCAGGAATAGGAAGTCTCTGCTGTTCTGAGACTCCAAGGAATGAAAGAAGCTAAAAGTATGACAGGATGTCAGTGAGAATGTAAATAGGTAGAAATTAGGAAGACAACAGGTAGAGCAGGGAAGGAAGGGGGAAAATGGGTGGGGGGGGGAAGCCAAAAGGTAAGTAAGGGAGACTCTACTGTAGTAGTTAATAAACACAGAACATCTTAAATGTAATAATTACCATACTCAAATTGAGGTGAGCCATACATCTCTTCATGTGGAAGTTTTGCTTTAAAACGTTGGGACAGCATTATGAATTGATCTGTACCAGTGGTGCTCAACCTGTGGCCCACAGACCAGATCTGGCCCATGGAGCCATGTCATTCAGCCCCTGGAGTTCCCTACAGGTCCATCAATTTGGCATTGGGGGAACAGTGACAGCATTAATTGAGCTTCCGCTCCTAGAATTATGGTAATTAATGATGCCACCACTCCCCCAGTACCAAATTTCCAGACCTTTGGGGAGCCCCAGTAGCATAACTGAAGGAGGGTAACTAGGGCAGCTTGCCACCACCATTGGAGGTAGTCGATGCTGCTCTGTGCATCATGGCTGCCTCTGGCATGGAGCTTCCCTGCCCCTACCCCTGTTATGGGTATGGGCAGTCCATAACTGGATCCAGCATGTGGGGTTGGTTGGTGGTATCAGTTCAAATTTAGCACTCAGAATTGGTCCATGGGCGTGATTTAGCTGTGAGCCAACCCTGGGGGCCAACTTGATCTGGCCTCTGGATCAGTACCATTCATCCAGCCTGTGGGGCTGGATGGGGTGGGTACCACAGGTCTACACCTCAGTTCAGTAATGTGGTGGAAATAAACATAAAGCAGGGTATAAATTAACTTAAAACTTGAAGAAATCTTAAAATATAGATTCAGATATGTTAGTATGATATTTTCCCATCCTCTTCACCTAGGGTAATAATTCTTGAGGATGAACTTGAAAAACTCGTTAGCTCTAAGGAGACACAAGAACTACCAACAGAGGCATATCAAGTTCTTGAACAAAAACTAAAATTGATTCAGCCACACGTCCAAGCGAGCAACAGCTGCTGGGAAGAGGCCATTTCTCAGGTGGAAAAAATGGGTCGAAGAAACCCAGACATAAAAGGTACTTTAAGAGGTATTCTAGTAACCATTTAATTTACCCTGTTAACTAAATATGTGAGTTTTGTTTGCTGAAGTTCTTATTGCTTATAGTTTTACAAAGTATCCAGCTGAATTGAACTCTGTTTAAAATTATTAATAATTATTATTTTTGAGGGCTGAAAAGTTTGTCAGGCTTTTCAGATGGTGCCTCTTAAATTCAGATGGCACCAAATTGATAATATAGCACATGTTGTTTATTAGTGAGCTGCTTTTTTTCCCAAGGAAGGATGGAAGAACAGGATTTTGATCAGTGCACCCACAGATTGTTTTAATATTGTCATAAATTAATTTCTTTAATTGCCCAAAATAGCTTAAATTGCAGAAATGACTTGCTTGTCTTTCCCCAAAAACATTTAAAATTGTACAAGATGAAAGAGATCAACATATGGTAACCATTCACCTGCTTTCCCAGAAAAGCAAAAAGACTATTTTGGGAAGGAAAAAGGATGATATAAAATAATATGTAAAAAATAATGTGTAAAGTAATATGCGACATAGGCTCCATAGAAAGTATCAGAGAGTTATCCACTGGAATCTGATACCTAATATCTTGGCATGCTTCCAGTCCATTTTTGTGAATAAAACTTGTTTTGATGCAGGGGTAGGGAGAGAGTTTTATTTCAAGGCATTTGTATTTAAAATTTGGAGACAGAATGGTTGACTTAACTGACAACAAAGTTGTGGGGGTTTTTTAATGACTGTATGGCTGGTTTATAGATGAGTATATCAAATTGATTCCTGTAAAGAAATAGAGTTCAATAGGACAAGCTTGAGAACCCTGCTTTTAAGTTTTAATAGCCTATTCTAATGCAGGACCCCTTGTATTTTGTGGGGGTTCCTATTTTAAATCCAATTTTAAACTCAAAATGTAATTTTGGTGGGGGTCTAGTATGTTATATTTCACTTTCAGTTACTATCCTGGAACTCTTCTGGAAATCTGTTAGTTTTCCATCTGTTTTGTAATAAATTCTCTGATTTAATTTTTGGAAGCTGTTTAAAAAAACAATTATGTGTTTTGACTTTTTTTTAGACTTTCCTGGTATATTCCTGCTTGGTTTAACTTCTGTGAACTAAGAACCTATCAGCCTTGCATGTAGGCGTGTCCTGTTTCCATTTCCTCTTTACTTTATTGAACTTTGAAGGGTAATATGACTGGTCATTGTGAATGACTTATTACAGGTTTAGCATAATCTGTGTTTTTAATGTGTCCTGTACATTTTAGAAAGGTGATTCCTGTAATATAGATAGATATTTACTTGCTGAAATTATTTAAATCTTGTTTTGTTTTTAAGATCCTTTGTGGAATACCAAATGAGCCTTTTTTGATAATGGTAGTGGAGAGAACTCCATGGTAAAATAACTTGTTGAGAAGAATACCTTGTTGAATTTGGTGTCTAGCACTTTTTCCTGCAATAGATGTTAAACTTCATCTGCCCCTGTTAGGAGCAGTAGGACAGTCATTTTCAGCATCAGTTTATGGGGGGTATTAGAAGGAGAACCATTTTTGACACTTGAGATCCAGCCCTTGGGGACAAACTCTACAATTTATATACTGTGCATAAGTGGCAAACATCTATCTATTGTAAAGTTCTGCCATGTTTTGTTTATATAAATTTAGAGTTTTTTGCTTCTCCATCTTTAAATGTAAATTATAATCAGCATTTCAATTTATTATTTCCATGGGTCCAGTCTTAGATAGATTGGTGCCCTGGCAGCAATAGTGCTTGGGTTCTCTTCCTCCATCCCTGTTTTGCCTGGCTAGCATATGAGCATGTGGTTGTCTCTTCTCTGATTTCATAATGAGTACACTGTTTAAAGGAGACTACTGATTGACTGCTGTGGAGGAGAGGATCCCATGTTAACCTGGAACATAGTGAAGAGTTTTATACACTTAGTCTCAGCTCCAAAATGCAAAAAACAAGATTCAGAATGCCAGTTATGAAAATGCCATGTGGGACTCTCTATTATCTTAAATATGGAACCCTAGATGGCTGCCTTTCATCTGTCTAGTTCTGCATATCCTTATGTTTGGTATTTAATTGTATGGATTCCTGTGTCAACACATAGGACCTTGTTACATGGTAGTTTTGGGCAGCTCCTAGAGCTCTTAACCCCTGGATTGTCTTCCCATTAACACTTTTTTAAAGTGGTGCTAAGCAATCATGGGCTAGGGACAGATATTACACATAAACCGGTTTAAGTGATCTGAAACTAGTTTAAACCTTTAACAGAACAGATATTCAGTGCACATAAACCAGTTTGAAAATTGCTGAAACCGGTTTGAGATAAACCTGGTTGAATGTAGTATATCAGACTTAGCTGATTTGGTTCAAACCAGTTTATGCAATGTCTATCCCAGACCCCTTGCTGGTTTAAAATAAACCAGACATCCCTAGCATCCTGGCATGCTCTCTGGGCTGGGTGGGGCTTTCTGCTCCACAGCAGGGCTGCCCTCCACCCCCCTGGCTGGAGCTCTGGCAGAGACTGCAGGCACAGCAGGGTTTGCCTGGCTTCTCCCTGCCTTACCTCCCACCCCTTGCTGCTGAAATAGGAATACTTCCTCCCTCCCTCCCATCTCTTACAGCATGGACCCCATCCCTACGGACCCTAGGCACGTGGTATGCTAGCTAATGCCGAGAGGTGTCTGTGTGTGTGTGTCTCCAATTTCACTGGGACAGGCAGACAGAACAGTGACCGCTTAGGCTTTTTGGAGATAATCAACAGGTCAGTTGGTAAACTGTTCAAGAAGAATTTGAACTAATGAAGAGAGGCTGTTGTTTTGCTGATTGGGTGATAAATACTATCAGCTCCCCGCTGGCTCGCTTGTCTGTCAGTTTGCTGCAGACAGTATAAAGAAGTAGGGAGATTGAAAAGCTCTGTATCATCAACAGATGCATGCACTGCACACAGCCTTGCTTCAGAGTGCTAGCAGGGGACTGGGGTCTGGCAACACTCCCGCCCCTTGAGCAGCGAGTGGGGAAAAGTCTGGGATGGTGTAAGCAGACCTTCCTAATTGGAATGTCCTGCTGGGGCCTAGCCATATCCCCTTCAGCTCAGCAGGGTTGCTCTAGTGCCCCTGGCTTCTAGCTGGAGCCACTGCAGGCGTGTGTCTGAATTTCCTCCAGTCCAGAGAGAATGTCTGGTTACAAACCAGTTCAGCCTAGCCAAGTTATACTAACCTGCAAAGATTGAATCAGTTCAGGCTCAGGGTTTTTGAATGTCTGTCCCTAGCCATTATGCAACTCAAAGTTACACCACACCAGAGCAGGATTATCTCTGATCCCCACCACCCAACTCCTGTTCCGTTAAGGTATGGCTATTCCCTACAGATGTGCTGCCCAAGTTGAAGTTCTGCAGTATCCCAGGATCTCCTCCTCTGGTCCCTGTCCTCCATAGAGCAGAGATAAAAGCTTGTCCTGGCTCACCAGCCCTCTAGCGGCAACTCACAGCTACAGCTCCTAGTTCTGCCCCTTCTCACCAGCTCTCTAGTGGCAAGTCACAGCTGTGAAGGTGGGGGCAGTCTGAGGTTTGTAAATAAGGGCATTTGTACACACATTTGCTTGCAGCACTTGCATTTATATAAATAATGAAATGCGTGGAAGCAGCACACTTGAACTAAAACACATTGAAGATATTTTAGTTCAAAAGCGCACTGCCGCCATTTTCTCAGCGCTGACTTGCACTTCACCATTTATGCAAATGCATGTAATGCAGTGCCAGGTGTGTCAGCTTGTTTGCGGAGCAGACTCAGTTAATCGGCCCTTGCTAGATTTCATTGAACTGACTGTAGATTCTTCCTGCTCTAAATACTATATTTCCTGTACTTGTATATGATACCTACTAAGTTTTATCCTTCTCATCAATGTGTCTGTTGTTAAACCTGTCTGATTGAATATCACTCATATGTATTCTTATCAGCTCTGTATGAATGCTGATGCCAGTGTAAGTTGTCTTGCATGATAATTATTACAAAAATTCTCCAGCTTCTTCTCTGATCATTTCTACTGGACTTTTTATAGGACTAGTTCCATTAATCACTGATGCTGTCAGATGTTTAACAGCCCCTGAGAGGAAGTGGTGGTTTTTTATTACCTGCAGGAAAATTAATTTCTACTAAAATATATCATAGTGATTGATTCATTGAAACTCATTGGTGTATTCTCACTCTAAAGCTTGCTCTAAACCTTTTAATGGACTGCTCTCTCCCCAATTCCCTTTCTTATACAACAGATTCAGTACTTGAGTCTGCACATTTTGGGCCTCCAGTCATCTGCTACTCCTTCTACAAGATGAAATAGCTTATTTAGGGTTAGCTAAGGCATTGCATGAACTTTGTTTCTTTGAATTCTTGCAGATATATACATCTGTTTTAGGTATTTATAAGCAAGACCATAATGCTCTGCTGTAAACTTCCTGGATTTTGCAATGTTTTAATCCATCAGACAGGAAATTCAGCAACTGTAGCAGTTTAAAAATAAAACGTAAACCCCCCATTTTTAAAATAAATTGGCTACAAAGCTATATTATACAGCAGGTACAGTGACCACTGCTGTTTGTTGATGCATATTCCCATTTGGTTTTATGCCCCACTCAGTTTTAGTTTTTCAGCATATAGATTTATAAATTTAGAGAAGTAGTTAGCCATGTTAATCCAAAATCAGGCAGAAGGCAAGGTAAGATGGCAGTCTGGGCCTCTGACAGATGTTCTTTCCATCAAGCAACTGGTAATATCACTCATTGGAAACATTGTGCCATGTGCCCTGCTTCATATTCAAAGCGTAAGTTATCCAGGGAGGAAGACGTGCCTTAGGAATTTGCTCTGTCAGCTCTCTCCAGCAAGTGGAGCTGGATTGCTGCTGACAGGGGCTATCATCCCTGCCTTTAGCTGTGCTGAGATTGAGAAGTCAGCTGGGTTTCTCTTGGGGGAAGAAGCTGTTCACCTGACCCTCGTTCAGATCTAGGAGATCTATGAGAAGTGCAAGCAGTGATGGGCAGCAGCCCTAGGGCATGAACTCTTCAGCAACCTCATGAGGTGCTTTTTCCCATCTCTCACCTGTCAGACAAGTTAGGCATGTTAGTTGAATGTTTGTTTACACTCTGGCTTTCATGGAGAGGTGCTAAATGGCTTCTTAAAGAAGCAGCCTTGAAAGCTGGTTGGAGAAAAGGAGGAAGGGGGTGAATCATGACATCTCTTGCTGCTGTGGTCTGGGGCAGCAGAATTATGTTCCTTGCACAAAGTGGGGAAGGGGGCAGGGAGCAGTCCATCTGGGGATGCTGGAGGACCTGCTTAAGCACTATCACCTTAATAACATGCCACAAGTTCAAATTAAAGTGTGATACAAACAAACTGCAAAGATAGTTTATATTTTACAAATAACATCTTTGAGGCTGGATCACCATTTTTTCAGCTTTGTTATCAGGTGGTATATTGTTTGAACATTGTGACATGTTACAGTTTATTGCATGGTTAACAATTGTAACACTTGCCAGGGGCCTTAGAGGCTAGCTGATTCAGAGAAGCATAAGCTTTTGTAGGGGACAGCTAACTTCATCATATAAACTGAAAATGTTTATATCACATAAGATGTCCAGGGGAAAAATTGATGCTTTTAGCAACTGACTGGATGGTAGCAGGATCAACCCTAGCCCCCACTGCCTTGTGGCTACTCCTTGGTTGGAAAAAGGCTAAAGGACATCACTCTGACAGAAGTGTGCCCTTGCTTAGGCATTAGGTAGTCAGCAGCAGTTCTCATCTGTTGCTCTCTGGCAGAAGCTACAGCTATCGAGGCACTGACTATCTGGAGTCTGGCCTTTGGATTCTGTCTGTGGTCATAAGGGGGGATGGTACGTCTTGGGCAGCCTCCACTCCTCCATACTCTTGCTTAGGCATATGTGTTGAAGGTCTTGGTGTGATGATCACAGGACTCGGTACAAGCAGGTTCATCAGGCACCTGACTAGACCTCTTACATGTACACCAAGATCCAAAGGATTGATTGTGGCCTACCAAGTGGTAGCAGCAGCTTTTGGTGCTTGAAGAGGTACAAGAGGCATTTTCAGGTTTTTTTTGGCATAAGCATTAGCTTAATTTTATCCTAAACTGATCAGCATTGAAATAGCTAATGCTGTTTTCATTTATGTTGTCATGCTTTAAACTTCAGAAATAGCTCCCCATTGACATGAAAAAAACAGCTCAGTCATCTTAGTTCTCTTGGTCTACACTGCAGACTCAGGAGGTTGGAATTACATTGATTACATTCATAGATTTCCTAGATGTTAGGGTTGGAAAGGACCTCAAAGATCATTGAGTCCAGCCCCCTGCCCCAGGGGCAGGAAGTCAGCAGGGGTCATAGGATCCCAGCAAGATAAACATCCAAATGTCTCTTGAAGAGGTTTAAAGTAGGTGCTTGAACCACGTCTGGCAGCAGTCCATTCCAAACCTTGGGGGCTCAGACAGTAAAGAAGTTCTTCTTTATGTCCAGCCTGAAACGGTCATGGAATAATTTGTGACCATTCGATCTTGTCATCCCTTGGGGCGCATTTCGTATCTCACTCTTCAGGTTATCTTCTAAACTTAAAAGGATAGGAACGTAATTTTTTTTTCAAGAGAACATTATCAGTTGTGGGACAAAAGGGCCTTATGATTTACCACAGTGACCACTTCTATAAATTAATTCTACTATCTTAGCCATTTCTATTCCATTCATCTTTAGAATGTCTAGGCCCAAAATTCACTCCAATCTGTCATTGCCAGAAGGAAATGCAGTGAATTGAAGTTAACGTGAAAATGTATTTTTCTTTCTACTGACTGTCATAAGTCAAGTTTAAACACATTAATTGATGTATTCAAGTGCAAAAGAACCTCACCGTATTTGTAAAAGTGCATTCTGCATACCTGTACAGTAGTAATACATTAAGTGCAGAACTATGGGTACATCTAAGGAGTGGCATCTGCTTTAGACCAGCACTTCTATTGGGCAACCATTCCAAATATAAAGGATATAGAAGAAATTATTGTTAACTTCTACATGTATTTCATTTCAAACTTTGTCAATTCTTATGATTCAAATAACGGAGAAAAAAAACGTGGCAAACCCCTCAATGCTCTGAACTTAATGTAAAGTACTGTAAAATGTCCGACAGGTTCCTAATAATTCTTGAAGGGTATCATCAAACTTCTAGTAAGCTAGTTGTTATAAGTTGCTCAGAAAAGTAAAAGTGTGGTTTTTTTTGTTTAAGTTGCATTCGAGTCATTCTGCGGCAAGCAGTACCACACTGAACTGCTGAAATTCAATTGCTTATTCATTTCAGCACTTCATCCATCTTTATTTATTTCCTCAAGGTAAACCCGAAGTATCTTTTGATAACACACACTGTACCATGCTACCTTTACTACACTCCACCCTGCACATAGAGGACAAAGACCCAGTCCCTGAAGAGCAGGTAAGAGTAAATAGAAGCTTTCAAAATATTATATATGGGGTTTTCTTAGTGCTGATGTTTTTCTTGTTCATTTCATTTTCAGCTGCTTAGGCACTGATCTTACCTTACTCAATAAGGCAGACATGGTGGGCAACTAATGATACATTCCTTAAGTGGACTTGTGAGATATTCCATCAGCATATGCAGTGTATAGAACTAGTATTGAATCATATGCTGGAACTCCCCGCCCCAGAACAAAGAGCTTAACATAGAAATTAATTTGGAATCTAGCTCCTTCATGTGCCAGCCAGGAAACAAATAAAGGCAACTGAAGAAAAGGAAGGTGATAAAGGATTCTTATTTGTTCTACCCTATCATAGCTGGTGGGCCACAGGCCACATACAGGCCTGCTAGGAGTTAACATGCTGGCTGCATGTTAACCTGCAGGCTCCTTCCTGGCCACCACTCCCCCCCATTGCTTCTGCTGCTTCAGCGGCTGGGATCTTCAGGCTCCAGCTCCCTCTCCTGGCTTTTGGGGCAGAGCAGAATGGTGTGAGGGATCTCAGGGAGGAGATCAAGCTGCTTACGTTGCATGTGCAGCAGGGACAGCCATTCTGCCTGTACAACACACATGTCAGGGGGCAGCTACGCACATGGCAAGTGGCCTGCACAGCGTACATCCCTTAGATCTGCACAGTGCCAGATTTAGGTATAAGCTAAGAAAACTTCAACTTGGGGCCTCTAAGTGGAAGTGACCATGGACCAGCAAACTGCAGCCCTGCAGAGCCGGCTGGAGAGGCCGTGACTCCTCCCACAGGGCCTGCAACAGCTGCAGTTGAGGTTTGGGCCCACCCCCTCCCGCTGGAGAGTGGAGGTATCTTTACCTGTGTTCCGGCTGGAAATTCCAGCCATGGGCCTTCACGTGGTGGTCCACAGTTTTCTAGGCTGCTGCTGCTTCCAATCCACAATTTTCTGGGCCGCAGTATAGAAAGGTTGGGAACCCCAAGCTTAGGGGCCCACCAGCCCTAATCCGCAGCTTGCGTAGCATGCAGCTCCTGGCCACCCAGAAGTTAGGCAGCCCTGCCCTAAGTAGTCTTTGAGGGTTTATATACTCTCTTCACTTTTGGACAATTAAGTTATGCTTTACCAAAACCAATTTTGGGTTGTTTTCTTTCACCTTAAAGACAATTGTTTTGCATCCACAGGGTTCTTGAGAGCACTGCAGCAAAGCCCACCCATCCACTCCTGCCCCACTAAACCCAGAAATGAGGCTGTAAAACCATTCTGAGTGCACCCCTGCATCTGGTCTCAAAATATTTGTCTTCAGCATGCCTGGGAGTGGCTCCAGGGGGTGCTCTCAGGACATCTTCAGTACCTCATTTCTGAGCTTGGCAGAGCAGGAGCAGATAAGCAGAGTGCTACCTGGGAAATACTGCAGAAGCAGGTTAGACTTTCCTAGCATGACCTCCTCTGGAAGCTAAAGATTGTACAGCAACTCTTAGAACTGGGCCATGGGGACTCGTCAGGTGAAAAAAAGAATTTTATTCTTTTTCCTCAGGAATTGGAAGCATATGTTGAAGATACAGATATGGACAATGAATACAGAACAGATGACTTTTACTGCTTTTCCCAGGAAGAGAGGGAGAGACAAAGACATGAGAGGGAAGAGTCTAAAAGAGTATTACAAGAACTGAAATCTGTGTTGGGTTTTAAGGCTTCAGAGGCAGAAAGGCAAAAATGGAAGCAGCTGCTATTTAGTGACCATGGTAAGCATTATTCTTGGTAAATTAATGGCACTCAAAGGAAGGAAGGGTATGTGTCTATTTGCAGTCAACTTTTGACTGTGTTGCTAGAATGCAAACTGTGTTCAACTGTAGTAGAGCCTTTGATAGATTTCATAGACATTCGGGCTAGAAGGGACCCCAGAGGATCATCAAGTCCAGCCCCTTGCCCCAGGGACAGGAAGTTAGCAGGGATCATAGGATCCCAGCAAGATAAGCATCCAAATGTGTCTTGAAGGCATTCAAAGTGGGTGCTTGA